GTTATAGTGTGTGTGTTGTGTGTTATAGTGTGTGTTGTGTGTGTGTGTGTGTGTGTGTTATAGTGTGTGTTATAGTGTGTGTGTGTGTGTGTGTGTGATAGTGTGTGTGTGTGTGTGTGTGTGTGTGTATAGTGTGTGTGTGTGTGTGTATAGTGTGTGTGTGTGTGTGTGTGTGTGTGTATAGTGTGTGTGTGTGTGTATAGTGTGTGTGTGTGTGTATAGTGTGTGTGTGTGTGTGTGTGTGTGTTATAGTGTGTGTGTGTGTGTGTGTGTGTGTGTGTGTGTGTATAGTGTGTGTGTGTGTGTGTGTATAGTGTGTGTGTGTGTGTGTGTATAGTGTGTGTGTGTTATAGTGTGTGTGTGTGTGTGTGTGTGTGTGTGTATAGTGTGTGTGTGTGTGTGTATAGTGTGTGTGTGTGTATAGTGTGTGTGTGTGTATAGTGTGTGTGTGTTATAGTGTGTGTGTGTGTGTATAGTGTGTGTGTGTGTATAGTGTGTGTGTGTGTGTGTGTGTTATAGTGTGTGTGTGTGTGTGTGTGTGTGTGTGTTGTGTGTGTGTAGTGTGTGTGTTATAGTGTGTGTGTGTCATAGTGTGTGTGTGTGTGTGTGTATAGTGTGTGTGTGTGTGTGTGTGTGTGTGTTTATAGTGTGTGTGTGTGTGTGTGTGTGTGTGTGTGTGTGTTATAGTGTGTGTGTGTATAGTGTGTGTTATAGTGTGTGTGTGTGTGTGTGTGTGTGTGTTATAGTGTGTGTGTGTGTTATAGTGTGTGTGTGTGTGTGTGATAGTGTGTGTGTGTTATAGTGTGTGTGTGTTATAGTGTGTGTGTGTGTGTATAGTGTGTGTGTGTGTGTGTTATAGTGTGTGTGTGTGTGTGTGTGTGTATAGTGTGTGTGTGTGTATAGTGTGTGTGTGTGTGTGTGTATAGTGTGTGTGTGTGTGGTGATAGTGTGTGTGTGTGTGTGTGTGTATAGTGTGTGTGTGTGTGTGTGTGTGTGTGTTATAGTGTGTGTGTGTGTGTTATAGTGTGTGTGTGTGTATAGTGTGTGTGTGTGTGTGTGTGTATAGTGTGTGTGTGTGTATAGTGTGTGTGTGTGTGTGTGTGTGTGTATAGTGTGTGTGTGTGTGTGTGTGTGTTGTGTGTGTTATAGTGTGTGTGTGTGTGTGTGTGTGTATAGTGTGTGTGTGTGTATAGTGTGTGTGTATAGTGTGTATAGTGTGTGTGTGTGTATAGTGTGTGTGTGTTAGTGTGTGTGTGTATAGTGTGTGTGTGTTATAGTGTGTGTGTGTGTTATAGTGTGTGTGTGTGTTATAGTGTGTGTGTTATATTATTGTTTGTATGATTATATAGATTTTTTGTACGTATGTATTTTAAATGTATTTTATTATTTATTTATTTAGTTTTATTCATTTTTTTCCTCATTTATCCTCATATTTTGTATGTAATATTTATTGTAATATTTGTTCTAACTATTAATTATGGAATTCTTAATTATTTTGTAAATAAAAAAGGTATAGTAATAATAATAATAATAATAATAATTATTATTATTATTATTATTATTATTATTATTTATTTATTTTTTATATTATATTATTATTTGTTAATTTTTAAAAAAGGATATTGTGACCAAACGCAATTAAAATTCATTTTTATGCATAAATTATTGTCAAACATATAATTTTCTTAAATCATAAAATATAATAATAAATAATAATAATAATGCACTACATCAGGAGAGTCAAACTCATGTTGTTCCGGGGGTCGAGTCCAACCGACTTTGACCCAAAGTGTCCGGATCAGAAAACTCATGTCATATAAACCCCAAAAATAACAATAAGTTCAAATATTTGTGCAGAGAAACACAAATCTATTACAGAAATCTTTTATAATTGATGAACTCTTTCTTTTACTAAATATTATAATATTATGAACAACCTGAAACTTTAAGAAAAATTCAATTTCAACACAAAGTTTGAACATGAACTTGTCTGTAAACAGAATAAGTCCATTTTTGTTGTAAAATCCTGCACTCGGCTCCACTTTTCTCATGTGTGACATTTTTCTGATGAGGGTCACGGTCAACAGTCAAAACCATCGTCCTTTAAGACGTTTGGAAAGAGACAAGTCTTCATTTGTGCTGCTCTGGTGGGAGGGGCCACGTACAGAGACGCTGGAGACGCTGCTGTGATAAACACCACACAAAAATTAACACCATTTTAATAGAAAATATCATTCAAAATATTTTAGTAGAAAATCAGCCGAGGGCCAGATTAAAGGTCCTGGAGGGCCGAATCTGGCCCCCGGCCGTATGTTTGACACCTGTGATCTATCAGTGTTGTGAAGTTTACTTTTAAAATGTAATCCCCTACAGATTACAGATTTACTCACACCAAAATGTAGTTTGTAACAGAATCCATTAAATTACTTAAAGTGAGTAATGTAATCTGATTACTTTGGATTACTTGGTTTGTTGTAGAGAAACAAAGACGAGGAAATCTTCACATAAGAAGTTTTATCTGATAAAAGAAAATAAAAAGTCCAAACTTTACTGAACCAAATTAAAAATATTATTGATAGAAAACGAAGAAACACGTCCACACAGCAGGATTTAGTCCTGTTCAATCCCGTTTTAGACCTGGTTTAGTCCTGGTTTAGTCCTGGTTTAGACCTGGTTTAGTCCTGATTTAGTCCTGGTTTAGTCTTGGTTTAGACCTGGTTTAGACCTGGTTTAGTCCTGGTTTAGTCCTGGTTTAGACCTGTTTTAGACCTGGTTTAGTCCTGGTTTAGTCCTGGTTTAGACCTGGTTTAGTCCTGGTTTAGTCCTGGTTTAGTCCTGGTTTAGACCTGGTTTAGACCTGGTTTAGTCCTGGTTTAGTCCTGGTTTAGACCTGGTTTAGTCCTGGTTTAGTCCTGTTTAGTCCTGGTTTAGTCCTGGTTTTAGACCTGGTTTTAGTCCTGGTTTAGTCCTGGTTTAGTCCTGGTTTAGTCCTGGTTTTAGACCTGGTTTAGTCCTGGTTTAGTCCTGTTTTAGACCTGGTTTTAGACCTGGTTTAGACCTGATTTAGTCCTGGTTTAGACCTGGTTTAGTCCTGGTTTAGTCCTGGTTTAGACCTGTTTTAGACCTGGTTTAGTCCTGGTTTAGTCCTGGTTTTAGACCTGTTTTTAGACCTGGTTTAGTCCTGGTTTAGTCCTGGTTTAGACCTGGTTTAGTCCTGGTTTAGTCCTGGTTTTAGACCTGGTTTTAGTCCTGGTTTAGTCCTGGTTTAGTCCTGGTTTAGACCTGGTTTAGTCCTGGTTTAGTCCTGGTTTAGACCTGGTTTAGTCCTGGTTTAGTCCTGGTTTAGTCCTGGTTTAGTCCTGGTTTAGTCCTGGTTTAGTCCTGGTTTAGTCCTGGTTTTAAGTGGTTTAGGTTTAGTCCTGGTTTAGACCTGGTTTAGTCCTGGTTTAGAGTCCTGGTTTAGACCTGGTTTAGTCCTGGTTTAGTCCTTATTTTAGTCCTGGTTTAGTCCTGGTTTAGTCCTGGTTTAGTCCTGGTTTAGTCCTGGTTTAGACCTGGTTTAGACCTGGTTTAGTCCTGGTTTAGTCCTGGTTTAGACCTGGTTTAGTCCTGGTTTTAGTCCTGGTTTAGTCCTGGTTTAGACCTGGTTTAGTCCTGGTTTAGTCTGAGTCCTGGTTTAGTCCTGGTTTAGACCTGGTTTTAGACCTGGTTTAGTCCTGGTTTAGACCTGGTTTAGACCTCCTGGTTTAGTCCTGGTTTAGTCCTGGTTTAGACCTGGTTTAGTCCTGGTTTAGTCCTGTTTAGTCCTGGTTTATTTAGTCCTGGTTTAGTCCTGGTTTAGACCTGGTTTAGTCCTGGTTTAGACTGGTTTAGTCTGGTTTAGACCTGGTTTAGTTGTGATTTAGTCCTGGTTAGTCCTGGGTTTAGACCTGGTTTAGTCCTGGTTTAGTCCTGGTTTAGACCTGGTTTAGTCCTGGTTTAGAGACCTGGTTTAGTCCTGGTTTAGTCCTGGTTTTAGTCCTGGTTTAGTCTGGTTTAGTCCTGTTCCTGTTTAGACCTGGTTTAATCCTTTAGGTTTAGTCCTTTAGACCCGGTTTAGTCCCGTTTAGACCTGGTTTAGACCTTTAGGTTTTTAGTCCTGGTTTAGTCCTGGTTTAGTCCTGGTTTACCTGGTTTAGTCCTGGTTTAGTCCTGGTTTAGACCTGGTTTAGTCCTGGTTTAGTCCTGGTTTAGACCTGGTTTAGACCTGGTTTAGTCCTGGTTTAGTCCTGTTTAGTTGTTTTCCTGGTTTAGTCCTGGTTTAGTCCTGTTTAGTCCTGGTTTAGACCTGGTTTAGTCCTGGTTTAGTCCTGGTTTAGTCCTGGTTTAGTCCTGTTTTAGACCTGGTTTAGTCCTGGTTTAGACCTGGTTTAGTCCTGGTTTAGACCTGGTTTAGTCCTGGTTTAGTCCTGGTTTAGTCCTGGTTTAGTCCTGTTTAGTCCTGGTTTAGACCTGGTTTAGACCTGGTTTACCTGTCCTGGTTTAGTCCTGGTTTAGTCCTGGTTTAGACCTGGTTTAGTCCTGGTTTAGTCCTGGTTTAGACCTGTTTAATCCTGGTTTAGTCCTGGTTTAGTCCTGGTTTAGACCTGGTTTAACCTGTTTTAGTCCTGGTTTAGTCCTGGTTTAGTCCTGGTTTAGACCTGTTTAGACCTGTTTAGTCCTGGTTTAGACCTGGTTTTATCCTGGTTTAGTCCTGGTTTAGTCCTGGTTTAGTCCTGGTTTAGTCCTGGTTTAGTCCTGGTTTAGTCCTGGTTTAGTCCTGGTTTAGTCCTGGTTTAGTCCTCTGTGTTTAATCCATTTATTTCAACAAAGTAACTGTAATCCAATTCCCACTCACTGAAACAGTAACTGTAACTGAATACAGTTACTCATCATTTGTACTCTGATTACTCTGTACATGTAATCTATTACTCCACGACTCTGTGCGCTTCCCTTTGGACAGTTCCCCTGGAGGCCGTGAGGTGGCGCTACTCGCTCCGCTCTGCTCCGGTGTCGATCCTCGGTCCGGAGCCTCCGCCGCCGCCGCCGCTGCTGCTCTGCTCTCCCCGGACATGTCGCCTGTTTTCGGGACGCGGTGTCGGTGTGTTTCCTCGGAGGGTCCCGGCTCTTCGCTTTAACCCGCCCGTCGGACTGTTTGTTCCCGCTGCGTGTCCCCGTGGTCCCCGTGGTCCCGCCGTCACCCGCTTCCGTCCCTCTTCTCTTCCCCTCCGCGCCGGGACCGTCCTCCTCCCGCGGCCGCGCTCGGAGCCTCGGAGCCGCGGAGCCTCGGAGCGTCGGAGCGTCGTCCCCGGGCCTCGGAGCGCGTCGGGCGGCATGTGGAGCGTGACTCTGCGGGCCGTGGCGGTGCTGCTCGCTTCGTGGCTGTTGGGGAGCTGCGTCCGCTGCTGGTTCCGGACGGACGGCGCCGGGAAACCGCAGACCCAGCACAGCGGACACCGGAGCAGCGACGACCGGAGCTGCTTCTGCCATGTAAGTTTCCCTCCGAAAACTCAACATTTTCATCCATTTTTTATTGTTAATTTTTTTTTACAACTTTTTAACATTTAAACCGTGAAAACAGAACCGAGCTGTTTCCGGGTCTCTGTTGCCCGGGAAACCTTCTAGAACCTTCGTACGTCACAGAACCGTGAAGTTACGTGAAAAACCGCACGTATTTCACATTTACCAAATAATGACATAAAATATTTTTTAATTGTTCATTAAAATAGTTTATTGACAGTAGGAAATGAAAACCAGCTTTAATTCTTCTCCAAGACCTGTACTAAAAAAGCAGGAAATGTGTGTGAATGATCGTTTTTTATCGTATTTTCCGACGGTAAATCAGTGAAAACAACATCGCAGCGTCAGCACATTTAAACACAAGTGTCATTACGTAAAAAGGACACGTCCTTAGTAATGTTGGTGCCGGAGTTTTTCGCCCAAATGCGTTTAAAAGTGTAAATAAGCGTGGTGTAACGTGATTGGCCGCGGCGGGGCGGGAGGATTGTGGGAGTTGTAGTTCTTGGCGCCGCTGCCGCTCGTATCGCGGAACTGTCAGAAAACTACAGCGTGATTGGCGGAGTTTGCGGCGCGGGGGGGCGACGCAAACTGACGCACGGGAGCGTCGCTGGAGCATATGGGACTCACCACAGCAACAACACTGGACCTGCAGCTGCAATGAACTTTTATTTAATTATTAAGAAGGAAAAAAAGGAATTGTCAGGGGAAAAAAGCAGATTTAATAATATAATATAGTGGTAAAACAAAATTAAATTAGGTAAATAACAGGATTTGTGAAAAACTAATTTAATTTATTTCAATAAGCGGGAAAATCTGGACTAAATTAGGATTAAAAATAGGCATTTATGAAGAAAAAACTGGTAATTTTTGTTAGTAAAATTGCACCAACTCTGGCCTGAAGCTGGTTAGAGCATCTGAACCAAACTGGACCAGAACCAGGACTAAACTTGGACTTACAGAGGACCAAAAGCAGGACTTAAGAAATAAGAGAAGTGAAATCAGACGAGGGCGTGAAATGTTGCGTGGCGCGGCCGTCGTCGTGTGTGTGATGCCGTTGGCGGTGATGACGGCGCTGTGGGACCAGGTGAGTGGGCTCCATATGCTCCCAGGACCAGGGGGATTCAGAGGCTTTTTTTTTTTTAAAGACGAGGTTCTGTGAAAATATTCATCACAACAATCGGTTTGGATTTAAAAAAAGTGTTGGGGAAGTGAATCGTGTTCAAAAGCAGAAAAACTGTGTTAAAAAACTGAAAATTGGTACTAAAAAATCACATAAAACAAGTAAAAAAATCTACTGAGAGTCTGAATGTGAGACTTTTAATAACCGAATTTGAATACTGAAAATAATCTTTAGTTGTTATCAGTGTTGGGAGTGTTACTTTTAAAATGTAATCCCCTACACATTACAGATTACATACTCCAGAATGTAGTTTGTAACGTAATCCATTAAATTACTTAAAGTGAGTAATGTAATCTGATTACTTTGGATTACTTGATTATTGACTTGAAAGACGAGGAAATCTTCACATAAGAAGTTTTGTCTACTAAAAGAAAATAAAAAGTCCAGACTTTACTGAACCAAATTAAGAATATTATTGATAAAAGACGAAGAAACACGTCCACACAGCAGGATTTAGTCCTGATTTAATCCTGGTTTAGACCTGGTTTAGTCCTGGTTTAGTCCTGGTTTAGTCCTGGTTTAGTCCTGGTTTAGACCTGGTTTAGTCCTGGTTTAGTCCTGGTTTAGTCCTGGTTTAGACCTGGTTTAGTCCTGGTTTAGTCCTGGTTTTAGTCCTGTTTAGTTTTTAGTCCTGTTTAGTCCTGTTTTAGTCCTGGTTTAGACCTGGTTTAGTCCTGGTTTAGTCCTGTTTTAGTCCTGGTTTAGACCTGGTTTAGTCCTGGTTTAGTCCTGTTTTAGTCCTGGTTTAGATCTAGTTTAGCTCTAGTTTAGACCTGGTTTAG